ACCTTTGATGTTCTCCCACCTTAATTTTCGCTTTTTTTTTGTCCAGTTATCGAAAGTCAAAATTCTTCTATCCTATTCGCTGATCTAAGCTCGTTTCAACGTTTCATGTCTGCGAAACAGAGGATTGTGCTTCTTTCTTTTTAATAGTTCTTGCCATAGAGTAATAACATGTTATACCGAAACCTTTTGTTTCTTTTTTCTGCTTGGTTTATTTTTACATATTTGTTTTTTTTTAGTTTAGAAGTACAGAAGACGTATATCTACCAAGAACGAGACGATCAATTGCATCAGCAGTAGAAATAACCTGAGGACAAAAACGACCTCTTTTCGTGCTGGGGGATACAGTAGGGCTACATTGCCGAAAGCTCTATGGCGGAATCTTAAATAAAAAATTCTGGAGAAGGGCGAAGTGGCCTTTTTGTTACCCCTGAGCAAGGAGACGCTCGACAAAAAAAAAACAAAAAAACAGGGGATTACATTTACAAACAGGGGAAAACAGGGAATTACGTTTCAGATGTCCTTTTAAGTCCCTCCCTCACCGTACCCTTTCACCCGCGTTCTCCCAGTAATGACTCTCGAAAATGCTCGCGAATGGATCCTCATAATTACGAAATTCGTTATATATGAAAAGAGAGAAAAGCCGCTCTTGCACTCAGCGTTCATATAGAAACGTGTCTTTTTCATTCATTCATTCATTCATTCATTCATTCATTTTATTACCTCAAAGGTCTCAGTTGGGATATTACACGAGGCAGTGCGTGATAGAAAGGCTATTAATATAAGGGTAGTTATGATGGGATAGTTTCGATGAGCCACTTGAATGCTTGGGTGTCGATGGTGGTAGTGGCTTTGGTGGGCAGGTCATTCCAGTCTCGAGCTGTGCGTAGAAAAAACGATTGGTGAAAGGTGACGGTATGGGAATTCCTGCTGTCCGGATGTCAAGTGAAACCATGCCAACCTTTCTAGATGCAATTAAACGTGTTTAGCCAAGAATATGAAGAATGCACTCAGCGGGCAATGAATACAAGAATTTAGACTATTTTTGAGAGTTAGACAAACTTTTGTAAAAAAGCTTTTAAAAATTGGGCTGAAACGAAGGAAAAATATATTGGAATGTAGAGTTGTTTGGTTTCCGTCACCACTAAAAGTTATTCAGTATGGAAACTTATTCGACGGCTCGTGCTCTGTCGGCAGGACCAACTTTCGTTTTTATGTGACGACTCCATTCATATCGTTAATTACAACCCGCTACGACGTTCTGTTTGTTATGACGCTCGGCTTCTGACTGCGAAGTACGCAGGTTCGAATTGTGGCCGCAATGTCGGCATTTTGATAACGTCGAAATGCTAGAGGCCCACCTACCCAGCTTTAGGGGCACGTTAAAGAACACCATATTGTCAAAAATTTTGAACAACCCCACTACGGTGTCCCCCTTAATCATATCGTGGTTTCGGGACACAAGACCCCAGCTATTATTGTTGATATAGTGAATAACAATAGAGCTGCTGTACTCGTACGGAGGACGTGACGATGCGTCATTTGACAAGCCCGGTTAGAAGTATCTACAAACACACGAAAATCTGAAAAGAGACCTCAAAAGAATATGCAACATACTTTTAATTGACAGCATTCTATGTAAACTATGTTGCCTTGCAACTGGACTTCATTACGTGTTGTTTTTCGAATTACTTCGAGAACAGACTCGCATGAAATCCCCTCAAGTGTTTTTTAAGCATTTTTCTTATTCTTCCGCTGCTGTAATTTCCATGTATCCTATTACCTCTGAATAGAAACAGCTGGCGCTGCACGCTATCTCCTACACCATGTGACAACAACAACAGCAAAAAAGAACGCAGTGTATATAAACAAATTCTGGTATCATCCGTACTCATCTGGGCTCACCGCAGTTTGGCGTGAAGAATTCAGATATACGAGTTTCGCGCTCCGGTGCTTTCTATGCAGTGGTGGCGGTCGCATGCCGTAGGACATTGCGGCGGCGAATAAACAAGGCTGCCGGAAATACATGAACAATATACGCACTGTCGGAGACAGGCCAACGAGAGGCGCGCGGAACAAGCAAACAAGCTCAAAAGGAAACTTGAAAGTCTCGTGGTATTATAGCGACAGCGGCGGAACTGCATGCCCGCCGCGCACAACGCCGAATTACGTCCGAGATGAATGAAGTGCTCATGCCCGCGAGCCTCAACCACACAAAGCGTCACGTCTGAGCTGTATATTCGGAGCGGTCGTTTTCGACAATGCGGAGCGTCGTCCGCAGCATAAAAGTGAATACAAGAAAAAAAAGGAACTACCGCACACTGTTTGTGAGACAAACGATCCACCAGATGGAACATGAACACAACGGGGCACAATTTCGGGAATTTCATTTCATTGTCTCCCATTCGTTCAATTTTTTAGGCGTTTCACCGCAAGAAATGATAAGTTTACAATGTGTGCTCGGGGGTATAGCCTGCGCCCCCTTCGAAAAATTGAAGAAAAACGCAAAGTAGGCTCGCAAAGCTGGAAAAGGGTGAACTGCCGAGCCATCTCGTTTAATGTAACTCCACATTCACCTTTCTTCTTGCGCCCCGCCGCGGTGGTCTAGTGGCTAAGGTACTCGGCTGCTGACCCGCAGGTCGCGGGTTCGAATACCGGCTGCGGCGGCTGCATTTCCAATGGAGGCGGAAATTTTGTAGGCCCGTGTGCTCAGATTTGGGTGCACGTTAAAGAACCCCAGGTGGTCGAAATTTCCGGAGCCCTCCACTACGGCGTCTCTCATAATCATATGGTGGTTTTCGGACGTTCAAGCTCACATATCAATCAATCAAATCAACCTTTCTTCTTGCGGCATTTTCCTAATCGTTGCCACATCGCGGCACCGAGCTTCGCTTACTCATGAACCCCAGATTGACTGGCTGCGTTTCTCGAGAGCTTTCAGCGTGACTCAATATAATCACCTCATGCGCCGACGAACGTGGAAGACCATCAAGCCATTAGACATCGTTCGCGTGTACAGTATATACAGGTCGCATCTTCGAGTAATGGACACGAAGCTCATGCAGAAACATGCGCGTTTCGGCAAACGACCTGAAGTTACGAGAAGTCTGCGCATACTCGTCGTTCTGGCTTCACGCACATTTATAGTAACTCGTTTGTTTTTGCGCGTCGTTTTCGTTACGGATCCCATTACGGCGTCGTGGTTCACTTATGAATTCTATATCGGGAAATCACCGCGGCTCGATATCTGGAGCCGTATTAATGACCGTTTACCATGCAGGCGCTCATCTTCATCCAGATGATGCTGCTATCTCTTTTTCTTTTTTTTTCTTCAATCAATGTACCGCTTAGAGGGCTAAAAGTCTGAAGTTGGCGTCTGCACAAGTAACACCGCCGATGGCTCGTTTTACTTCAAAGAAAAACATGAAAGCCTGTTCCACGTGCATGCAATCTGAGTAAGCAGCACGGCTGTCAGGCAAGCACTGACTCAGTTTTCTATCTTTCTTAATCTTGCTTCTTTCTCGTTCTTTCTTTCACCCTTCTTTATGCACTTGTTCATTGCCCTGTCTTCCCTCGCATCACTCGCATCAATTTTTACTTTCCAGCCCACTTTGATGCACTGTAACAGACACGGCTACACCACGCTTTATCATCTTCTCTCCTCCTTTATTTCCCCTCGCACCATTCCTCATTCTCACTTCTCTCTCCAACCCCTTTGCTACACTACGCCACGGATGGTTACTCCATGCCAGAAGCTCCTTCGCAAATATCAGCTTTTTGTGACACCTATATAACGGCTTTCTGTCAACGCCTCACGGACCAACCTTGAGAACTAACAGCTTCGGTTGTAAAAATAATATTCGTACACGCCTTCCGAATCTACTCTTTCTGATGACATACTACAATCAAAACCACATCAAACCTGCACAAATCAGGCACCATTTGCGATTAGAAAACATTGTCGGTATGAACTGCTGGACAGTGTCATTTAACGCTTGTAAGCAGAGCTAACGGTACATGCCACATCCGTGGCGCGGCAGTTTATGCAGTACCGAACCTAAGTATGGCATTGCGGTGTGATGTGTGCGCTCTTGATAATGTATATATTCTTTTTCTCCAAACATGCTAGAGAGATGTAGGTGGTGTAAGGAGTATGTATTCTGTTCGTTCAGTGTCGGTGCGCCAACACATTAAAAAGGGGCGCTAAAGAGCAAAACAATTTTGGAAGTAATAGTGAAGAACGATTTCACAATCCAAAAGACGGCACTTTTACCACGACACGACGTTTGGCATATAGTGGCTAAAAAACCTTTCTAGCCACTATACTTGGTAAGCGGGAAAACGCGCGGAAGGGAAACGTGGGTAGGGCGACACCATCTTGAGGGTCCTGCTCCAAACACCGTGACGTAGGAAATTTAGAAGGCGTGTACTGAATCTTACAAAGCTTCAATTTGGTAAAATTGAAGTACTTTGGCATCTGTAGGTGCCGTATACTTCGCATACGAAGGTTCAAAAAAGTTCATCCAGCCGATGCCACGAAAATACCAAAAACTCATTTTAAAATTTTTGACGTTATGCGCGCAAATTTTGCGTGAAATTTAAAAATGAAGCTTCAACCTTAATTTAAAAATGAATCTTCAACCATAATACTTATGAAACTTATGATATTAAACATGGGGCGTTCGAATTCTCAGAGTGCAGCTTGTCAACCTAAACTAAGTCATTGTTCCTTTTTAGTGTATCTAAACCAAGTCATTGTTCCTCTTTAATGTCCCTTTCAAGTGAAGTTGTTTCTAAGAGCGTGACAGTGGAACATCGGAATTCGGTGTTTTCGGGACTATGGCATTGTGCTTTACTAATACGGAGAAAATCTTTTTCATTCTTTTTAGTGTCCCATTAAGGTGACACTGAGTTTCGCTAACCATTTCAACAGGACGCAACTGTCCACTGAATTTCTCTCTTTCTCTTTTGTGGGGCTTCCGCGAATGCGTCGACGGAAGCAGCTGGCCGACATCGACCTGAGCGACCCGAGCCTAAACCAGGCGGCCAGCAAGATCCAGGCGACGTTCCGGGGCCACCGGGTTCGCAAGAGCCCGCTGCACGAACCCAAGGAACCCGGAGACCGGCAGCAGCAGGAAGGGGAAGCCACCGACCAGGCGGACGACGCCAGCAAGGAACTGCCCGACGTGAGTGTTTACACTCCTCACCCCAGCATCCCCTCCATGCATATTACAAGGACTGCCACCTGTGTATAATATGCGTGGAATACTGCGTAAGCACACTACGCAGGCTGCCAGTGGACAGCTGCATGTGGCTGAATGCAGTCTATTAGGCCTCGCGTTTCGCGTTCACTAATAGTATTACTAGCTTGTAAATAATTTAAATAAGCATGGTCAAAGCTGGTTATGTTGTCTACATGATCCCCACTTCTGTGCAGCTGGTACTTACCTCCTGGATGCCTTGTTATGGCGTATAAACACGTGCAAACCCCAAGAGCAGTAACACATGAATTAAAAAATATTTTTTGCTCAAAACAATAAATTTTCGATAAACCTTTTGTATGTGCAGGCAATGAAAATTGCTACTAAATCTACTATTGAGCTTATCTTTAGTAGGAATGCCTCAATATTGCATTCGCGGCCCAATATGTGGGAAAATGAAGCAAATTAGTCGCTACCACTAAACTTTATTTCGCTGTATATAGCCTGAAATTGTTCTTACTCTACAGTAAAACATCCTTCCAATATGCTTATGTCAGCTATCACATTTCGCCTTATGTTGTCTTTCTGTGGAAAAAAAAAACAACAACATGGACCATGTTCTCTATATTCGATGCCACATAGAAAATTCACGAAAGCGTAAACGTTCGTAAAACTTATTTTAAGTAAAATGCCTATCATTGTTCAAAAGGTAAAATTTTGTCTTGACCTAATATTAAAAGAATGGATTTTTCGGCAACGTGTTTTACGAGCTATGGTTTCGAGCTTTCCGAAAAAAAAATTCACGAGGCTCGCGGTACTGTAAAAAGGTTTCGCAAAAAAAATGTTTTGAGGGAACACTTCTGTCTTTAGTTAGATAGTTCAGATTTTTTAAAATAAATCGTAGATGGTCGAGTGCCAAGGTTGGGACAGTTGGCGTGGAATGACCCATGATATTACATCAGATGAGGCACTTTAGGCCTCAATATGGGCAAGAAAGCGGGTATCACGCTGACGTTACGCGTGCTGGAAAAAAACAAATGCAGAAGAACATGTTTTAGTTAGCCCTGATTTGTTATCATTTAAATTGAACATGGCTGTACAGTGATCTGCAAATGAAACTGTACAGTCGGCCCGTATAGGTCGGTGGAAGAGCCGTAGGAAAAGCAAGCAGTCGGAGGCCGTAGGAAGAGCAAGCACAAACTTATCACGTGCACTATTCAAAACTGCATGTCTGGTCAAATTTAATACAAAATTCCCAACCACGGCGCGCATCCTAATTATAATGTGGCTTTGGTGTACGCAATATAAAAAAAGCAAAGAAAAGCTTCGACTAGTCCGCTTGCACGTAACTTGCTATTCCACGGGGTGTCCGAACAAAACGAAGAACGCGTACAAAAACTAAACCTATTGCTACCAAAAACAAATAGAAGAAAGTTGCACCTAATTTACCAGACATTTCTTTTCTGTCAATTATAGTAGAGCTTTTTTTTTGCATTGAAATGATATCATTCTTTCAAAGAAGCGGGATTCACTTATTTCAATAATTTCGCAAAAATAGATAACTCTAAAACGATTTCACTGCATTGCCACACAATGAAAGATTGCTGTAAAATGAACGCCAGGACACAAATGGCACAACACGGGCAAGTGTGGCTATCTAGCGCCAAGAAACGCATTTACGACGAGTACAGCATAGCCTCCGAAATTCGCACCACCAGCTAATTTCGAAAGCCATGAGTATAGTCGTTAACGGATCAATAATTTCGGCGCAAAATCTTATGAGTGACTACTACACTTGTGAACGAGAAGGATAAAGTTGTGGAGGAAAAGTAGTCGCACGATCGAAGCGCCCTGCCCTTCATATATTCATTCACGCTTACCAAGCCCGTACTAACGAATTCCATTTGCTGCGTCAACGGTCGCGCACTATGAACGCGTGATGCCTGCATCCACGTGACCGCGTATAAATCCGCATTTTTTTTTTTTTTTTCATGCAGGAGCTTAAGGACATGGACCTAAACGACCCCGACCTGGCGAAGGCAGCCGTCAAGATACAGGCCACGTTCCGCGGCTACAAGACGCGCGCTAAGCCAGAATGACCACAAACAGGTCAGCGCGCAGCACAGTTCAAATTGTTGCGACGTTACGTCGCATCATTCATAAAACAGATCAAATTTACCTAGGTTACGTTGAACGGAAATTTCTATAAGGCGTAGAAATGTGATGTGCTATTTTTGAGACGTTAACTGCATGCGCCTGATATGCGTGCACGTGGTTCTGTACTAAGGGGCGAAAGGGGGGGTCTTATTGAAAAAGAAAAAAAACAAACCTCATCCTCTCCCGTATTGGCCGTGTCTGAAAAAAAAAAAAAAACTCTTGGCAGCGCGTTTACAAATTAAAATGAAGCCATGATGGGCTTCTCGTAAAGGCCTGCCTCTGGTGCCTTTCCTATGTATGGGGAAGGTGGGGGGGGGGGGATTCTCGACAGCTGACCCGGGCAGGCGAAATGGTTAAGGCAAGTATACCATCGGAGGTCAATGCACGTTAGAGAACACTGAATCGTCGAAATTGGCGGAGCCCTTCGCTATGGCGTCTTTCATAATCACATAGTGGTTTTATGGGAGGTAATACCACAGACGTTATTATTATCATTACCTCACCTCTCTTTCGCGCCGTCTTCTTTCACCCTGCGTCGTTTCCGTCGTGCTTCTCAGCACAACGTTCAGTGTTCGGTCATGGCTCATCCACACTTGTCACGGGTCACGTCTGCAATTAATGCATGCGGAAACAAGGAACGTGGGGCTTACTCGCGCATCTTCATCAGCGCTGCCTGCAGCATTCACGTATTTCCATGACACGCAATACCGGAAGAGAAGAAATACGCACGGCAGCGAATTCCTAACCATGCAACGCCGGACAGAAGGTGCACAAAACACAGCGGCTCAATAAGGGTCGGATCAACTGTTCGCTCAGGTTTTTTTTTTTTTTTCGCTTTGTTAACAAACTTTTTTGGTTGCCCCACAGTATGTTTACGTGCCGTAAGCCCAATGCAAACATGCTTGATCGAATCCGAGAAAAAGGAAGCGACAAGCACTCGAAGAAAAATATTAAAGGTGACCTGCAACACTATTCGAGCATGGTCAGAAAATGTTGCCGATCGATAGCAGAGGCTCCCGACAACACGAAAGCCAAATATTATAGCGAAGCACGTGGACTGGAATTCACAATAAATTATGAAAGTCAGCTAAAAATTGCTTTCTCTTCTCTCGACAAATCTCGCAATAAGCCCAAAAATCACTCGTAGTAAGCCCATCTATCAGCTATTGGCTGATTTGAACATGGCGCGCTCGGTCGTTACAGAGGTCGCCGCGGGAGGCCGCCACTTGTCCACGCGTGCGCACAAGATCGCACTGAAAAAGCCACGTACTCAGAGAAAAAAAAGCGCTCAAGGTCACGACGCGCACGCGATGTTTTTTGTTTGCCCCTCTCATCCCTCCCTGCTTAGCTTCCAGCGCTTTCGTCGGGCCGAGAGAAGAGAGAATGCGATTGCACCGTGTGACAAGTCTTTGTAACTTCACTCGTACTGGGCGGATTCTTAAAATTTTTGCGGTGTTGAATTTGTGTGCCACTACGCTTTTCCAGAGAAATTATTCCATGGTTACTCAAAAAAGTGTTTAAGGGCATTTTTAAGGCAGCCTTCCACTAGTGGCGCCAATCCTTAAGGAAGTGCGGAGCTGGGCAGGCATCTTTTTTTATTTCGGCTTTTCTCTTTATTTCCCTCTCTCTGTCTTTTCGTATTTTCCAGTTTTACTGTCTCTTTTTCTCTTTATTTTCGTTTATTTCTATTTTTCTTCCTATATTTCGCTCTTACTTTTTTTTTTCAACTTCTAGCTTGCTTACTTTTGTTTTTCAGTTTTTCTGCATGCTTTTGCTTTAGTTACGCCAAGCGAACGACAGCATACGACATCCGGTACGCACAAGATGCTCAGTACGTAATGTCGTAATCGAGGCTTCCGAAGAACAAAAAGAAGAAGACTTCTCCTCGTGGCGAGCGCGCGCTCGGCTACACTCGTACTTTGCCAACGTGACGCTGAGCTACGTGGTACAATGAGAGCATACGCCATCCCGGGTTCCTTAAGTGATGCGCACTTAAAAAAAAAAAAAAAAACGAGTGTGCTACTTTTTTAGGTGACTCCCCGCTATGCACGTATATGACTTCCTTCAAAGAGACGCTTTAACAACTTTGAGAGTCACACGACTCTAAGAGGAGAAAATAACGACCCACAAAGAAAGGTTCTTAAAGGGTGAGGAGAAAACTAGAGAGTCGTCTATAATAGAACTTTCATCTGGCATTCTGGAGCGTTCATCTTCGGAAGGTGAAGAGCGTAAGAGATGAAATATTTTTTTTTCTTTTGTTTGTTTAACAAGGACCTCAAAAAGATTCGCTCCGTGCAATCCCGGTTCCGTTTTGATCGATAAGTTTTCTCGGCGCAGTGATAGGTGCAGATCGCGAACGATGGTCGCCATAATTCGATTGCGAAACTCCGTCACTCCTTGTGCGGTGTCCTTTCGTAAGTCAGAGCCAAGCCGCCGTAATTGAATCTCGGAAAACCCGAAACTTCACTCAATTCGAACGAGAACTCCCAATTCTGCTTGGCCCCACGCTATATGTACTCAATGCGCTCCGAAATCGCATTTCTCAAACAATGATTTTGATAGGCAGAAACTCTCGACAGGAATAGCATGAAGTGTAATCGAAAATACGCTACCTATCAGTTGGTTTTTCTACGTATGATAATTAATATCTGATGTTTTACCTCCCAAAACCATGATATGATTATGATAGATGATTCTGTGGAGGGCTCCGGAAATTTCGAGCATCTGTTTTTTTTTTTTTTTTTTTACGTGTAGTGACATCGTACAGTATACTCGGTCCTCCACCAGTTTGCCTCCACCAATCCAGCGACCTTCGGATCGCGGGTTCCTGCGATAAGCCACATTTTTAAGACAAAATAAAAAGCAAATGTAACTGTTGTGTAGGATAGTAAAAGAATGCCGCAGGAAAGGTATTGTGAACAATGAAGCAATAATCCTGATTTAAATGTGCAACTCTGCAGGTCTATTTAAAGACGAGTAGGTTCTTAAAAACACGAGTTCTTTAGCACGTCTCACCACATCGTTTTTAAGGGCTTTCTTGTTCAATCACCGTCATCAGCCCGGACTGAACTAACCCATGTCTTGATGCGAGCAGTGTTCAAAGTTTATCTGTAATCGTCCTTTGTGTATCAGTGTGGAGCCCACGGGACGGCCATAGTAGAGTACCAAGTACTCTAAATCGTTCACCAGTTTTTTTTTCTAAACCTATAAACAAATTATGTGTAACACACACACGAATTATGGCTATGGGGCTAATGTCCGCAGTCTGTACATAATTGCTAATCAAGTATGACTAAAACATGTTTGGTTCAGCAAATATTGGATGAGTCAAGTTCCAATATATGTATGCCGACCCATTGAAACTCTCGATACCAACGTCGGGTTCTTCAGATGTTTGTATACACACGATGTTGCATCTAATATCCCCGTCAAATGAAACGTGAATGGCGGCAAGCATTAGGAACGGTATAATGTGCGCCGTCCAGTCATCACCATTGGTAAGAGCACAGCGCTCCGGTTCGGCAGAACTGCGCATGTCCACGATGATGACTGGACGGCGCACACTATATCGTGCCTAATGCTTGCCGCCATTCACGTTTCATTTGACGCTGATCGTACTGCTCTAAAATATGCCTTATCGACCCATGTTTGTATGCTTTCATTTATTGCCAAAACAAAAACTTTTCAAGCCTCCCCGATGTTGTATGATTGAGATTGACTCCGCTGTTTTGTTTGGACTTGGCACTTCGACGCCGTTAATATGCAGGGAAATGCCTCCCCAAAGAAATTACTCTTCTATAACGAAGGATACCTTACGTTTCTTATCTAATGCAAGTGGTAATTCTGCGGCCTCCTCAGGCAATGGAGTGGCTTACGTGCCGAAGTATATCAATGCCCCCGATCACTTCGTCATAATGGCTCTTCACAGTATGTCATGAAAAAATTGGTGACACTCATGAGATTCCTAATGTTATTTTCTTTTTGCCTCCATTCACCCAACTTTAGGTTGAAGATCATCGTGAAAACTTCGAGGAAGCCTGCCCATAAATGAATTATTTATGACACAGCATGCGAATCTACAATGTTCGACTTTCATCTAACTCCGATGCACGCAACAGAGGCAACGGGAAAGAAGCTGGCCACCAAAAGAAAGATTCCTGGCAACCCCGGTCTGCGTATCGCACTGCACCATTCCACATTCCCCAAAACACTTGCCTTGTATCTCAAATCTTCGACGGTGCTTCGGTAACCTTAACGCATTCTAATTTCACACAAGCAGTTACACCAATGTCTAGAAATTATACACAGTTCATGGCCTGCTCACGTGTAAACGCTTAGGGAAAGTAATTAGATTCAATGCACAGGTGGAACTCCCGCGCCATGTTTCTCCAGAGTACTCACTTAAGTGTTTTGTATGAGCACGTGTTAACATGGCCTCTAGCAGGCGCATTTGCGAAATTCTAAAATGCAGTTTTCATCCCCCATTTCCTTTTCCCCAGTGCAAGATAACAAACGAGACATGCGTCTGGTTGACCCCCTGCGTTTGCTTTTACTCGTCTCGCTGTCTCTTCGAAGCTTAAGACCCTATTCGAACCTGTGTTTCAGACGCAATTTCCGTGCCCGTGCATATGCACAATATTACCCGAAAATTTTTTCGTCGAGTCTTTCGTGTGCTGACAAGCGTGCCACTCTTTGGCGCCATCGAATGACGCACTCCCTGCGTTCTAACGGATCCACCGTAACCGGCCGCTCGCCGCAGTCGTCTGAGAATGCGGAGGAGCAGAAGAATCCATTCGGAGCACTCATGAGCTACCATGCGGACCTAGAGGGTTGCCGATAGCAAGACACTTTTCGTGCGAAAAATTGGTTCATACAAGTGCACACAAAATATTCAACGCGCTAGAATGAAGAAATGCTTCGCTAACAAAGCTCAAGAAAAAAAAAAACAATAAGCCAGTTGATCCCCAACCACACGTACGCTTTACAACGCGTCAGCGTATGGCGTGTAGACTCGGAGGAACAGGGCGCGCAGCTGCAAACTGAGTGCCCCCTCTCTACATAGAACAATGGCATGTCACGCACTCACTCGTTGAAAATCCACGCATGCGCGTTACAGCTGTGACGCGTAGACTCGCGCCGCTCCCTCTCCTTATAGATAGACAGAGAGCGCGTGGCTACACGAAGCTACGCGCGCTCTCTTTCCACACTAAGGGAGAGGGCGCTGCGTCACTGTAATGCGAACGTGTGGTTGGAGCTCTAGAGATGCCTGGCACACTGTTCTATACTGCATGGTGTGATCTAAACAAGCCCTCGTCTATGTAGCACAACACTCTAAAGAGAAATCGAGGGAGTGTTTCTGCTGCACAACAATATAATCGTCATTTATACTTCGAGTACTTTCCTCGCGCTATCGCCACGGTTCCGGTAGTTCGCGGTCACGTACGGCACGCGCGTTCTCAATGTGACATGGGATTCCCGACAGGAACGTGGCCAGCGCTGGGTTTTCAAAAAAAGGAACGGCGAGCAAGTCTGATTACGATTATTGTTGTGTAGCAGAACTACTATCAGAATACTCCATTTTTTTCTCTTAGAGTTAACAATAAGAAAAGCGATTGGCAAGCAACTTCCGAGGAGTACAGTGCGTAAGATATCCGCCGCGCGTCCAAGGTGGATTTATTTCATTCCACGGTAATGACATCAGTGATGTCTCTTTTCTGCCTTCATTGCACGGAGCTGAACAAGAGAGTGGGGTTGATGTGATATTTTTAATGCGGTTGCCTGTTGTTGCGGCTCAAATGAAAAAAATAAATAAAAGCTCGTTTGCAGCTTAAACTGCCGAAAGTAAATGCTAGGACAGTGCATGTAATCACGTGACACGTAGGATGAAAAGAACTGCGCCAGCAAGCTCCACGTAAAATAAGCATATCACTCTCAGCTGACTAGCTGGTGATCGCGGACGTGTTCGCTACCATTTACTCGAGGGTAGCTCCTATTCAAGAAGTCCATTTAAAGCAAGGGCAGCACTGCTTGTTTGGACGCGACCGGCAAATGTAGGATTATCTGCCAATAATTAACGATGATAACACGGCCAAGAGACGTCCCGGACTGTAACCAAAGCAGAGCTAGAACAAACCAAATAATGATATTCCGCACATGTAATCTTGGTTTCCAGAATTCTGCAAGCATTACTGCTAGACTTGCATATAATTAATCCCTAAAGACTAAGAAATCACGACCCATATAATTCATGTCCAATTCGCTAACAGCAACGTAACAATTCTGCCTTCTGTGGATGCCCGTGTGAGAATGCACCCTTACATCCCCATCTCGAATACCCAAATCTTATTCAGCATGTGCAAGTACCAATATGACGAGTCCTCTGCAGCCAAAATAAAAAAAATTGATAAATACACGATTCAATTATAAAAAGAAATTGAGGCTCAAATCGCACCTGATCTACTTCGATAATGCGACCAGCCTGATACAAGATAATTTTCGTAAAGCTGAATTACCCTATTTAGCGAAACTCCCATTACTGTAAACCTGCAGGCAGCCGTTTTATGTAGGATTTTACTGACATAAAAATGCTGCGTGCCTGTGTCGCTGTGCAGCAGTGCAACAGTTTCATCATCTCGGCTCCATTTCCCGCAGGTCAATACCGCAAAGTCATAACCAGACATAAAAAATTAACATGAGCCCGCTAAAAGATATATCTAATCAAATACTGAATATTGTCTCCTCCAATTCCAACATTTTCCCATCGGAGAAGTAATGTGCTTCATAAATGCACCGAGAAGAAACGCTTCCGCTAGCATATACAATGTAAGCATTCAATCACAGTGCTATTAGCGAACGAGTACTTACTCGCCAACCTTACTGCCTTTGCCCTTGGAAAGCAGTTCGCGACTTAATGAATGTTTTGGTGTTGCTTGTGAAGCCTGTGTGCACTTGTTGAAATAATATTAAAAAACATGGCTGCTATGTTTGAAAATGAAAATCAAAGGGGAGTGCACAGGCTGATTCAGTTGGGCAGGCGGCCGTTGTTAACTGACTGGCCGGTTTGTAGCATTCGTAGGAGTGCAGTCGTTCGCTCTGCCTTGACACTATAGCTTTAATTTTATTTCTGAATGTCTCACATTCGCATTCCCTATGGGCCAGTGTTCGTAAGGAAACCTCAACGCCCGAGGTGATGTGTTACAGGGAGTAGAACGTTCGAATATGTGTGTGGCCACAATGAAGATGATATATGTGCTAAGTATGATAAAAGAAAGAAGATATGTCTTCATTCTCTAATAAAAGTATTATTACGAACATTCATGGCGCTTGAATTTTTTTTCCAGTTCAAACTGGACATGCGTCATCTCTCCCTTTCTTTGCTTTTCTCTCTCTCTCTCTCTCTCTCTCTCTCTCTCTCTCTCTCTCTCTCTCTCTCCCTATCTCTATGCCTACAAATTATTACGTTAGCAGTGTTTATTGCTCGGTGAGAATTCGCCTACATCAGATACTGCCAAAATGAGACATTCAATAAAGGCGCAACTTTACTACGCATTTGAACAATCAACAAAATTGGTGTAAAAATTAGTCATCATCACACTCCCCTACTATTATGCACACAATAAAAACAGCAAAAAATTTAATAAAGAAATCTATAGTGATGAACGTTTTTTATTTTATTTTTTTGCACCAATTCCAAGAAGTTAGCTCCACTTGTCTTACACGCCGCTTTCACATATTACTCAGTTTTTGTGTATAAAAATGATTCAGTGAAGTACTTAAAAGGGTAAAAGTGCCGTAGCTTCATACCTCTATATCGTTACACCTCAGTATCTAACCTTGAGTAGCCAAAAATTGTGGGGAAAGAATTCATTGTAATAGATGGTTCAATAGCGCTAAAGCGTGAATAGTCTGAGACTTCAAAAAGATATTTTTAATGGTAAATAAAAATATCAGTATTTTTTATTTATGTATTAGCAGTACCGCAGACCACCACGTGGTCTATGCTGTAGGAGTTGTACATTGATCGCAGAATAAATAATAAAAACAAAACATCGCAATCACAGCGAAAAACAAAAAAATAAAAAGCTATGAAAAAATGGGAACAGAGAAAATGTCAAGTACAATCATGAAACATAACACAGATTTTGCAGTTCGCATCCAAAATCATTGACATCAGAAACAGTGGAGGGCATAGCATTCCATTCGGACACAGTTTTACACGAAAAACCGTGTTTGTGTGATTTAGTTTTAGCGAAAATTGTGGCATGCAAGTGACCTACTGTGGGTGTGTCTAGTCTTCCTAGCCGAGGGGGGACGTACACAATCAGACATGGTTACTATTGTATTTCCGGTAACACAAATTTTGAAGAAAAAGCAACCTGTTGAACTTTCTGCGCGATTCTAACGTATCTGCGATTCTTCGTATCTTAAATTGAACGTCACTGTGCTGCAGAAAATAGACGAAAATTGTGAAGTCAGTATCACAGGGTCTGTCATCATTATAATCATGATTTTGCGCATTTCTTTCCGCTCCAGATTTTGATACTTTTACGTCAGCGGCGGGGGGTGAGCTATTCATACTGGTAATATGCGCGGAGTCATCCGCACGTGTTTAAAAATAGTTAAAAATAAAAAAAGCATTCTTCTAACATAAATTTACTCTTCACACAGTGTAAGAATATCACTCTGAATTGATGTGTGACAATATTATTGCTCCTCTATGTGATAAATTCTTCTGATTAAAAAAAAACGCTGTCGACACTCTGAAACTTTTTTTTCGTTGGACTTTCTCGCTTTTTTTTTACAGCTGAGGCAGGTTGTTTTGAAAAAAAAAATTACGCTGTAGCATTAAATAACTCGTTTCACAGAAATATAGATGTCCGTGTTGACGTCTTTGGTTCTGAGCGAAAACCACCATTCTCTCCGTGACCAAAAAAAAAAAAAACCGAGAAACATGCAAATGAAGTAAATAACAAATACTCCCACGTCAGAGTTAGGGTCGAACCCGGGCCGTCTGCGTAGCTAGCATGCGTATCTGTGGCTCTGTGGTGTGCTACCACAGAGCCACGAAATTTGTTGAAATTGCTTTGCAAAAAAAAAAAAACTATATGAATGTCACGTGTTGGAAAAAGTCACCTTAACGCATTACATATTTCGTGGCACAAGTGTAGAATCGCGCCAGGTGTCAGCAGATGTGTATTGAGCAATGCAACGAAGGGGCGTTCTAAAGGCCCTCCCATTACAAAGCACTCAGACAAGTTTCTTTTACAAAGGTCAGCGTCAGAAATATAATGAGCTCACCAAGCCCTTTTATTCAGAACGTAGAGAATAAGCACTGTCAAACGAGGGACTCTGCGTTTGCTATACAGACTAACTCACATCCTTATTTATTTATTTTTTATTTTTTAATACCTCAAATACCCCAGCTTGGGGGTTTACATGAGGGATTGGCTGTTATGTAGTGACAATGACTCGATGTACATCTCGAAGGCTTGCGGGTTGGATTGGAGCACAGCATCTCTGAATAGACGGTTCCAGTCTCTTACTCTGGGCTGTCCGGCTGGCCGAAGACGCTGCCAGGATTCAAGGCCGCCGCCTGAGGAAGGGGGTTACAGAGGGGCTCATCTCCCGGCCCCCCGCCGCCTTTGACCCCAGCAGGGACACTTCAATAAAGTTTCTTCTCTCTCTCTTGCTGTGTTGACAAAGAAGGAGCGTAGATGCGCAGCAGTCTGTGCCGGTGGTGGGTAAACCGCTTTGGTGCGATTCGTGCGGCAGGTTGGACGATAAGCAGGCAAGATTAATGAAGTGCTTGGATAGGAATGATAAAATTTGTGAAAAGGGCACAATGTAGGCCTAAGGCGTCCGTGTTCCAAGTTATCAAGATGTGCTTTGGATTTTAGTTTTGCAACACTATACTGTGGGGAAAAAATTATCTGAATAGATGTAGCTAACTGCGCGGTTTTGTACTGCTTCGAGGGCTTTAATAAGGTTAGTTTGATGTGGGTCCCAAGCGGAGCATGCGTATTCTAACTTGGGCCGTACGCATATTTGATAAGCTAACGATTTGACCGATGAGGGAGCAAGACGCAAGTTCCTTCGAAAGTATCCAAATGTGCGGTTTGTTTCGTTAATGATGCTTGTGATGTGGGAGGACCAGGAAAAATCGCCAGAGATAGTGACGTCGAGGTACTTGCATGAGTTGACAGGTGAAATCGCAGCGTTGCAGAGGACGTACTGTGGTGGAGGGAGATTCTTTCTGCGGGTGAAAGAAACTATCACTTGTTTAGTAGTGTTTAGTGCCATGAGCCGTTTACAACACCATGCAGTGATCTTATCCAGGTCTTCTTGAAGTGATCGGGAATCATGAACGCTATGAATAGGGCGATAAATGACACAATCGCCTGCGAACAGACGTATGTCAGACGAGATGTTGGTGGGGAAATCATTGATGTATATTAGAAGTGGGCCAAACACGGTTCCTTGGGCTACTCCAGACCGAACAGGGCTTCTGCTTGAAGAATTATTGTTAGCATGAACAAACTGCTCTCGATTAATCACGAATCCAGTCAAAAACAAGAGGATGAAGGTTTAGGCGAGAAAGTTTCAAAAGTATACTCCCTGATGTGGCACCTTGTCGAAAGCCTTTTCAAAATCTAAAAACAGAGCTAGCACCAACTGTGACGTTTAGATCAAGCTTAGAGCTAATGTCATTAACGAACAATGTTAATTGTGTCACAAAAAAACTTTACAAAATACATGTTGATTAGGAGTGAAACAGTTAACAGATAACAAAACCTTGACTGTGTGTGAGTATATTATGTGTTCCATTAGTTTAGAACAAACACTGGATAGTGAGATAGGGCGGTAACTGCGGCAAGAAGACGGTGGACCTTTTTTCGGTACTGGGACAACCTGGCCCATTTTCCAGTCATCCGGCACCTCACCCAGTGATGACGACTGCTAAAGATATGGCATAACATGTCGCTGATGGCGTGTTTAGTTCTTTTAAGAATTTCGGAGTTGCCATCAATGTCTGCCGATGAAGAGAGCTTTATAGAGTCAATTATATTTGCAACGCCAGCCGGATGGAAGGTGATATCTGCCGTAGTGTTATGAGCACAGGGCGGAAAATCGCGTAGGTTATCAACAGGTTCGTCAATCAAAATCGAAGAAAATGTGCGGTTGAGTGCTTCCGTAGCTTCACAATCAGGTATGGGTTGGTTTTAGTCATCGTGCAGAGGCAGTGGTTGCGAGTGATTAAGGATCTTCCAGAACTCCTTCGGGTTATCGTGAAGAATGTTCGGGAGTGTGGACAAAATAAAGTCACCCTTGGTTCTGCTGGAAAGGAATTTTCTGCATTGCGATATTTCTGCCATGCGTACTCTGTGTTGGAACGCTTGGCAGCACGGAATAATCTTTTCTTTTTGTTGTTCAAGCATTTTATTGTTGAGTCGAATCACGATGATGACTTTTTTTTTCTTTTACAGTGTTGGTACATGTGTATCTATCAAGTCGTGCACTTTGTTTCTAAAAAGGAGTCAGTTTTCGTTGACGGAGCGTTCTAAATAGTCGGAAAGAAAACTTGTAGAAAAAGTTTCTAGTTCGATGTTCATAGCTGCGTACTTTCCTTTATCGTAGAGAGTTATAGTTTTTTTTTTTGCCTAATGCAGCAATTTCAAGAGATATTGAAGCACTGAGTGATCACTAAGACCGGACATGTAAGTCACTGATGAAAATTTGTCAGTATGAGAAGTAAGCACGAGGTCACGTATGTTATCCGAACATGAGACAGGTGTTGACGAAGTCGCTTTCGGTAGCGTTCACTGACATTGGTACATTGGGGTTAGACCAATCTATGGAGGGAAAATTGAAGCCGCCAAACACAATGATAGGTGACTGGCAATACCGTGTTATAACAGAATGGAGTGCCTTATGAAAATCAGCCACAAACGTCATGTCAACATCCGGCGGGTAATCTGCGTATGAGCCTATTCGACTGGAACGAATCATTCAATTGTGCAATGTGTGGAGGACATTGGGGCACACGTGGTCGCGTGCGCCTCAGGTCTCCTCTCTCTCTCTCTCTCTCTCTCTCTCTCTCTCTCTCTCTCTCTCTCTCTCTCTCTGTGTGTGTGTGTGTGTGTGTGTGCGTCTGTGTACGCGTGTGTGTGCGTGTGTGTGTGCGTGTGTGTGCGCACGTGTGAGAAAGAGAGAACAAGCGGGATGACGCTGTCAGGAGCAGCGAGCAACAAGACCAAGTCTGGGTTGTCCAGAAGACCCGCAAAGCGGTAGAGATCCTATAGTGCTCCCCGTGCCGAGGT